AAAAAAGTATGTAAAATGTCAAAACAGGTTTATGTTATCAGGATATAGTATTTCATTAAGTACTGAATCTCTGTTCAAGGACCATGTCTAATTAAATACAACCATACATCAGCCTAGCCCTTTTTTCAATAATTATAAAAATTAATTTAAATGAAAAGTTAAAATTTTTTTTTAAAATCATCTGCTTACACACAGGTTATCCATACAGAATTGAAGCAACTTTGAAACATTTTTAACACTGGTATATTATGTAAGGTTACACCATTGATTTTATTTTCAACAAATACAAATGATAATAATTATCATACAATCCAATGAAATAATAACTTAAGTCATTCAATATTTACTTTTTATGATTTTTTGGAAATAATGATAAATAATTAAACTTACATTTCCAATTACATATGAATGACCATTTGGACAACCTGAAAATCAAACATACTATTTCATAAGACTGTCACCATTTATACAATTACTTATAACCTTATAAGGCTGTCATTTCTTGTAACTATGTCCCTCATTATTAAGGTATTATTGTTTAAAAGGAGCGTAGTTATTTTCTTTTACGTAGTTATTTTCTTTTATTTTATCTTATGAAAAAACAAAAGTAAAGAGAAACAAACAACTTTCTCCGAGAAACGAGAAAGATTTTAGTGGAAATGAAAAGATGTAAAAGAAATGAGTATTCAACTCACGGTAGAAGACGGGATTTTCACCAGCGTTGGCCTGACGAGCAGCTAATAAAGCTTCTTTGATGTCCTCCAGGTCATCTTGTGGCATGGTTGGAAGGAACATGTTCTTCAAAAGGAAAGAATATCATGTAAAGATACGGTTTTATAACTCAATCAATGTTAACTGTAAATAATCACCTGCTGATATATTATTTAGTGAACAATTTGTTGAGGAAAATAATTAGTAAAGCTCATCCTAGCAAGTGTTTTTTCCCCGTAGTTCTGCACTTCTCCAATAATAAACCTGAATGTTATTTTTCTAATATTAAGTCATGCATTTTTTCACCATTACAACATCCTTTCAATGAAATATCTAAAACAGCTTACAGAATAACTTGGTTTCAGTAACATTGTTTTCAACCTAATAATTATGCAAAATATACTTGGCTGTCACAACATAAAAATAAATTTCTGCCAAGTTTTCTTCAAAAACATTGCAGCAGTTTAAATGTTATGAAGCGGACACAAAATCAAAATGTAGACTTTTTTTACACTCGACCTTTAACTGTGACCTTGACCTTAGGGGTAGCAACCCAATTATTGTGTTATGCATGTCATCTCATAATGGTGATCACTTGTGCCAAGTTATTTCAATTTTTTTTCAGCGGTTTAGGTTATGCAGCGGACACAAAATGTAGACTTTTTAACACTTGACCTTTAAGTGTGACATTGACCTTGTGGTAGCAACCCAACTACTGCGCTCTGCACATTATTCTATAATGGTGTCACTTGAGCCAAGTTATTTAAAAAAGAAAATCAGCAGTTTAAAGATTATGGAGTGGACACGAAACTGTTAGAACAAACAGGCAGCAGCCATTCCTATAATTCCCTCCCCCAAATTGAGGAAAGGGATAAACTAAAATTGACATTTGGGACTGGGACTGTCCTTGAACTAATCTTATTTAAAAGGGTACAATATTGATAAAAATTGAAGAATTATCTGATCAGTCTTCGGGTAAAATAACTGGATGACCTTTGATTCTATTACTTGATTTTTATGCCAATTTTGACACATTTTTGTCATGTATTGGCTGTCTATCCACCTAACCAATTATCCAGGATAACTAACCAGTAATTGCCAATTTCTCCACAAGAGACGAGCTACTCATCCCACATGATTGCACTGTTTATAGTAAATCATTATTCATGCACATGATAAGAAAGTTCAATAATAAATTACAACTTACAACACATGCTTGCGGGTTCATCATAAGAGATTGTAAAGGTTGTAGCAGAGTTCTGTCCCCTTTTATATGCATCATAACAGATTGATAGTGAATTATAAGGCACTGTATTCCTTGTAGGCGTAAATCTTCCCCTTCAACAGTCACAAGGTGTCTAGGTACAAGCTCGTTCATTATAAGCTTCTGCATAAAGATCTGAAATAAAATACCATTGTCAATCTAGAAACACATAAAAAAAAAAGCAATTCAGTTACAGCATCCAATCCAAATATAATATATAACCTTTGCAAGATTAATATTAAAAGAAATTAATAAGTCAAATCAGACTCCTCTTACATAGTGCTTGTCTGTTTGTACCATAGCATCAACTTTATTGAGGGAGGATACATTAAAATTAAAAGACAAATCAGAAGAACGTGAAAATATTACCCGCTTTGTGTGTACATATAATCCATCTTAACCTAATATAGGTAAAATAGTTAACCAATATTGGAGCTTATTGAAATTTTCTCCAAATGAAAGTGTACGTAAATTATACATATACAATTATAAGAGACCAAGAAATTAACAAGACAATTTAGTTCATACTCATTTAATTGCCAAATTCATGGTATGTTCAGTATCTAAATGCTGTCGACCTCGTTGTACTCATTGTAATAATATTGTTGAATCTAATAATTTTTCAAGTATTACTATACCTAAAGAATTTGCTATAAAACGTGATTTTTCATGTACATCTTCAGATGTCATTTATCTTATAACTTGTAAAAAATGTAAAAAACAGTATGTTGGTCAAACTCAGCAAAAATGTAGTCAAAGAATGAATAGTCACAAATTTGATATTAAACACTTTTCTGACACGTTTACCAATGTATCTGAACATTTTAATTCTGAAGGACATTCTATCAAAGATTTTTCATTCATGCCAATTGATAAAGTAAAGAATAATTGGCAAAGATTATTAAAAGAAACTTCATGGAAGTATCAGCTAGGTACAATTATTCCTGATGGCATGAATTCCAAAATACTTTATTAATTCTGTAGATTATTAAAAATTGTATTTTCTATTTTTTGCTTAATATGACTTAAAACTAATTTCATTTCAATATGTAGTTTATGCTGGTTTTCTAATTTTATATGTTTTGTATCTTTTATTAAGATCTTACATATTACATTTATACGCCAAATTATGTATTACATTTTGACGTCGTTGTCCTTGACGTCATATGACGTTGACGTCATTTCTTGTCAACAAAGTATACCTGATGAAGACTTTTGAGTCGAAACGTTGTATATTTTTCAAATAAAATAATTACATTTTTAAATTGAAACTGGAGTTGATTTCTATATTCAAACTTACATTATGTAAAATATCAAAAGTCTTGTATGAAGTTTGTTACACATATAATGTATATATCTTTTTATTCTAGCTTAAACCTGTATAACCCTACATTTTTGAGAAGTGGAAACGATCTAGGTAATTCCCTATGCATTAATTTGTTTCGGCTTGTCCGAATTTAAATTTTGTGTCACAAGATAGTTTGTTGGATAACAAAAAATATCAATTAACAAAACAGAGCATGGTCATAGTGTATGGAGAAGTACACTGGTACTAGTCAAGTTATTAAAACTGCTTACATTAAAAACATCAATATAACCAACCTTATTTTTCACTCCATTACAATCCTGCACAAACGTATTCAATGTTTCCATAACCTGGAAAATAAAAATAATTTCATATAATTAGATTAATTTCGAAGGCCAGGTCTAGCAAGTAAGAAGAATTGTCAATAATTTGACTTAATAAAACAATATCACAATCTTTATTAAATAACAGCTGCCATAAGAGTGGATTCCTCTATCATGTCTGTGTTACAGGAGTTTATGTAGGCCCTTATCCTTCTGTTATAAAGTCAATATTTGAGCCTAGCTTGAAGAAAATCATCCAAAACAAATTGAATTTATAGGGCTGTCACAAAATTATCAGACATATGACTTCGCTTAACCCTTTACCTCATATATACGCGAAACAACGCACTTTCGACCACCCCCCCCCCTTTTTAGGCCTCAAATAGTGAAAAAAATGCTCTATTTGGGCCCCAAACACATGTTTTCGCTTGAGAAATGTTGCTAAAAAAAATGAGCACTTTTTCGGCGCCGCCCCCAATCCAAAAGATACATCAGGGGGTTGCCAGAAGGGGGATGTGTCCCCTTCTGTTAGCGGGGTTTGAAGGGGGCGGAGTCATCCTAATCGCCAAGAAAATTTTGGACTTGTGAGAGGCTAAAAATGACCCCAGGTCGATCATAATGTAACATGTAACCAACGCTGAAAAGCCTTTGACTCTATCTCAATCCCTTGAGAAGTTGCAGCACTTTGAAATAAATTTTGATGGAAAAATCGAGGCAAAAAAGTGATTTTTGGCATTTTTGAGATGTCCCCTCGTTGCCATGGTAACAGGAAATTTAAGACTGAGCATGTCGTTACAAAGGCAATGGTCCAGTCAACATTTGTGCCAAGTTTGATTAGTATTGAAGCATTTTTCATAGTTTCATAGCAGTTTGAACTTGTCACAGGAGGCTTTTCAGTGAAAACGGCCATTTTTCACAATATGCTCATCGGGGGGAAAGGGTTAACTAAAAAAATTATAAATGTTACAAAACAACAATTTTTCACCAAAATTAGGTGAAAGGCCACATGTTAACATGGAAAAACTAGTTTTTAGGTGATTTTAAAGTTTTTAATCATTTTTTGTTAACTAAAAAAATTGTAAATGTTACAAAACAAAAATTTTTCACCAAAATTAGGTGAAAGACTACATGTTAACAAGGAAAAAAAAGTTTTTAGGTGATTCTAAAGTTTTTCATCATTTTGTGTTAACCCTTTACCTCATATATACTCGAAACAACGCACGTTCGACCCCCCCCCCTTTTAGGCCTCAAATAGTGAAAAAATGCTCTATTTGGGCCCAAAACACATGTTTTCGCTTGTGAAATGTTGCTAAAAAAATGAGCACTTTTTCGGCGCCGCCCCCCCCATCCAAAAGATACATCAGGGGGTTGCCAGAAGGGGGATGTGCCCCCTTCTGTTAGCGGGGTTTTAAGGGGGGCGGAGTCCCCCTAATCGCCAAGAAAATTTTGGACTTGTGAGAGGCTAAAAATGACCCCAGGTCGATCATAATGTAACATGTAACCAACGCTTAAAAGCCTTTGACTCTATCTCAATCCATTGAGAAGTTGCAGTACTTTGAAATAAATTTTGATGGAAAAAATCGAGGCAAAATAGTGATTTTTTGCAATTTTGAGATGCCCCCTCGTTGACATGGTAACAGGAAATTTAATACTGAGCATGTCGTTACAAAGGCAATGGTCCAGTCAATATTTGTGCCAAGTTTGATTACTAGTAGTATTGAAGCAATTTTTATAGTTGCATAGCAGTTTGAACTTGTAACAGGAGGCTTTTCAGTGAAAACGGCCATTTTTCACAATATGCTCATGGGGAAAAGGGTTAACTGGACCCAGCCTGCAACATTTTCAGTTTTTGTAATCGTGGACTTTCTTTAGGGATTCCTATTTTCTCTATTTCAACTTAATTACAGCACATCCACGGCATGGGTTCTGCACACATTTTTGACTAGTTGGCTACTACACTATTTACTGTTAATACTTTAACAATTGGCAGGTAAATTTAGCAATGGGCTTTAAGCTATATTATTATCAGGTTAATATCACTTTCTATTGATCTTTAATTTCCATCGGGGGAATCGATAGTCATATATATATAATATAACCAGATATATATATCTTATTTAAAATTCCATTTAGCATGATATTTTCATTCAGTGTACATACCGGTGCCTTTAGTTTCCTCTGTTGTTGAGGGTACAGGTATGAACTTGTAATTTCTCTATGTACAGCAAACTGTAACATTGGTTCTACTCTAACTCCTGCAGCTTGAAACTCCTAGAACAGAACAGGAACAAACAATTATAATGTGAAAAGTCTTACATTATTATAATACCTTACCATAAAGATTTTATTTTTGATTTATGTGAGTTTAAAGTGATCAGCAATGCTACCTTAATAGATGCTATGCAGGTCCTTATGCAAGATGGGAAATATTTGGTGGTCTGCAAGAAGTAGATAAGATAACAAATGATCTGTGGGATTTTGGACAATAAAAAGCACTATATATAACACATTTTACCTCTATCATAAATAGCAAACATATATTTCACAAGAACTACCATGAATTAATATACAAGTTATGTTACATTCAAGAGACAAATGTTTAAAAATATATATTATGCAATAAACTGTAACAAATTCTGAATAAACAAGTGCTAGAATCCATGATTTCAAGCATGCACATCATCTCCTACCAATGCTGACCTGCAAACTTTTCTATTTTTCTGTCGAGGGCAAATTGTACAGTTCCATTTCATAATATAAAGATGATACATATAATTATACAAATGTATTTATATACAGGAAATCGTACCTGAACAGTTTCAAAAAGATGCTGAACATTTTCACCAAGGATAACTTTTGTTATGGACTCTCTGATCCTTGTATAATAATCCCCACATACAATATATCTATCAGATACTTCCACAACCTATAGACAAAATAAAAATACATCAATAATCAACCAAAAGCTATGGATAACATCTTCAAATTTAAACTAATATAATAGTATTTGCAGTACATTTAGATTTGTCTGGGCTTACCCACCTTTTTATACATGAAGGATATTGAATGAGTGTAAGCTCAAAGTCAATACCGAATTTATTGAACAAGTTGACTAAAATTATATTGTGCGAGCCTCTGAAAAGTCTTTACGTTATGTTTGTGTAACACAGAAGACGTCACATCAAGTTATATGCACATACAGCCATGCAAAACCATATTTGCATTGTCATAAAATGGCATTGGTATGAGATAAAAACAAGAAGGCCATGATGGCCCTAGATCGCTCACCTGAATTATCAAACTCATCCAAACAATTACATAGACAAGCATTCTGACCAAGTCTCATGACAGGTGAGTCAAAAATGTGACCACTACAGTGTTAACAAGGATTATCCATATTTGAGCAGTGCGACCTAGTTTTTTACCAAGGTGACACATATTCAAACTTGACCTAGAAATCATCAAAACAAACTTTCAGACCAATTTCCAGGATACTTGGAACAAAAATCAGTAGCAACTAGAGTGTTAACAAGATTTTTCTATTTTTAGCTCCGGTGACCTAGTTTCACATTCAATTTCGAACTCATCCAAGCAATTACCTAGACAAGCGTCCTGACCAAGTTTGATGATAATTGAGTAGAAAATGTGACCACTAGAATGTTAACAAGTTTTTTCAATATTTGGGCGGTGTGACCTAGTTTTTCATCCAAGATGACCCATGTTCGATCTTGACTTAGAAATCATCAAAACAAACTTTCAGGCCAATTAACAGAATATTTGGATCACAACAGTAGCCACTAGAGTGTTTACAAGATTTTTCTATTTTTAGCTCCTGTGACCTAGTTTTTTATCCGAGATGTCCCATGTTCGATGTATTCCCAGCAATGACCTAGACAAGTATCCTGACCAAGTTTGATGACAATTGAGTCAAAATTGTGACCACTAGAGTGTTAACAAGGTTTTTCTATTTTTAGCTCCTGTGACCTAGTTTTTCATCCGAGATGACCCATGTTCGAACTCATCCGAGCTATCACCTAGACAAGCATCTTGATCAAGTTTGATGATGATTGATGCAAAAATGTGACCGATAGAGTGTTAACAAGGTTTTTCTATTTTTAGCTCCGGTGACCTACTTTTTCATCCGAGATGACCCATGTTCAAACTCATCCGAGCTATCACCTAGACAAACATCTAGACCAAGTTTGATGATGACTGATGCAAAAATGTGACCGCTAGAGTGTTAACAAGGTTTTTCTATTTTTAGCTCCGGTGACCTACTTTTTCATCCGAGATGTCCCATGTTCGATGTATTCCCAGCAATGACCTAGACAAGTATCCTGACCAAGTTTGATGACAATTGAGTCAAAATTGTGACCACTAGAGTGTTAACAAGGTTTTTCTATTTTTAGCTCCTGTGACCTAGTTTTTCATCCGATATGACCCATGTTCAAACTCATCCGAGCTATCACCAAGACAAGCATCTTGATCAAGTTTGATGATGATTGATGCAAAAATGTGACCGATAGAGTGTTAACAAGGTTTTTCTATTTTTAGCTCCGGTTACCTACTTTTTCATCCGAGATGACCCATGTTCAAACTCATCCGAGCTATCACCTAGACAAACATCTAGACCAAGTTTGATGATGACTGATGCAAAAATGTGACCGCTAGAGTGTTAACAAGGTTTTTCTATTTTTAGCTCCGGTGACCTACTTTTTCATCCGAGATGACCCATGTTCGAACTCATCCGAGCTATCATTTAGACAAGCATCTTGACCAAGTTTGATGATGATTGATGCAAAAATGTGACCGCTAGCGTGTTAACAAGGTTTTTCTATTTTTAGCTCCGGTGACCTACTTTTTCATCCGAGATGACCCATGTTCGAACTCATCCGAGCTATTATCTAATCAAGCATCCTGACAAAGTTTGATGATGATTGGTTAAAAAATGTGACCACTAGAGTGTTCACAATGTTTTTCTATTTATAGCTCCTGTGACCTACTTTTTCATCCGAGATGACCCATGTTCAAACTCATCCGAGCTATCACCTAGACAAACATCCTGACCAAGTTTGATGATGATTAGGTCAAAAATGTGACCTCTAGGGTGTTCATAAGGTTTTTCTATTTTTAGCTCACCTGAGACATCTCCTCTGAAACCATAAGGCAGATCATAATGAAACTTCACAGGGATGTTCCTTGTGTGAAGCCTTAACAAAGTTGTTCAAAGAATTCCATTCAATGCAGAACTCTGGTTGCCATGGCAACCAAAAGAAAAAACTTCAAACATCTTCTTCTAGAAAACCCAAACAGCTAGAGCTTAGATATTTGGCATGAAACATCTTCTAGTGAGTGTCTACCAAGTTTGTTCAAATAAAAGCCCTGGGGTTTTAACTGGCCCCGCTCCAGGGGCCTATATTCAGGTGAGCGACCTCAGGGCCATCATGGCCCTCTTGTTAGCTCTTGTGACCTAGTTTTTCATCCGAGATGAGCCATGTTCGAACTCATACGAGCTTTTAACTAGATAAGCATCCTGACCAAGTTTGATGATGATTGAGGCAAAAATGCGACCGCTAGAGTGTTCACAAGCAAGTGTGGACGGACGACGGACGACGGACATTCACCGATCCTATCACTGCATCCTAAAGTATACATTCAATTCAATTTACAATGAATATTTAAAATCTTTGATTCAGAATTAAATATATATCTAAAAAGAGTGATGTAAATTTTGATTTTGCAATATAAGATGGTTGACAAATATTCATGCTTGGATTTCCCAAAATGAAAGTTCAACACCTTTTCCTAATTTTTGTAAAATAACCCGTCATGAATATAGAAATAGGAGCTGTGGTCTAGTGGTTAAGGTGTCTGCAACTCAACCTAGAGATCATGGGTTCGAGCCCTACTCGGGTCACGTCTATGTTTCTTCATATGACACCAGTACTGGTTGGTTCCAGGAAGCGGACTCGAAAGTGATTAATATAAGTTGCATGAACTTGTTTCGCAATCGAGCTTAAATAAATATGTTTAAACCATAGAAATCAGACAATATTATTTACCTGATCTCTGTTTGCGTCTCTCATACTGATCCATCTAAGGAATGGTGCTGGATTTTGACAAATTGACTGATACACATCAATACCATAACATCTACATAGGTGCTTCACCAGGTATATCCTGATAAATAAATTCATTATCTTTAATTTTAATCCAATAATGGTAGTAAAACCAACATAATGCGTTTGCGACTAGCATGGACCCAGACAACTCTGCGTATCCGCGCAGTCTGATCAGGATCTATACTGTTCGCTTACAAACCCTATTACAAGTAGAGAAACTGACAGCAAACAGCATTGATCCTGATCAGACTGTGCGGATTTTCTACTTTTAGCTCTAGAGACCCCTAAAAGGGGCTAATCAAATCAATATGAGCAATTTTTATAAAAGATTACCCAAGAAGGCTACAGACAAAGTTTAATGATCATTCATGCATTAGTTCTCTAGATATAGATGTTTAAAGGTATTTCTATTTTTATATTTAGGAGCCTTAAAAGGGGCCAATCAAATTTCCAA